TTTAGTTTTCTAAGTTTTAATCCCCCCCCCCCCCCCCCACCCCCCCTTCCCCCCCCCCCCCCCCCCCCCCCCCCCCCCCCCAAAAAAAAAAAAGAATGTCATACAGACAGTTAAAACTCAGGGTTTTAACTGTCTGTATGACATTCTTTTTTTTTTCCATTGTAGGACGTTTATTTTTGTTGTTGATAAAGACTGGTTGAAATGTATTTGACTGTGAATCTTTTATTTTTCTTTGTTCAGCTTGTAATTATTTTTGTGTTTTGTTCCTTTAGCTCTCTAGAAATGTCTGTATTTAGCATATATCTTCTTCCCTATCGTCTTAGGCTAAATATATACTGCCCTAGTGGTTCCCTTTGTTGTAAATTTTTGTCTTATAACATTAAAGAAAAGCCTAGCTAATTCACATCCAGATTTAAACTGTTTGATAAAGGCAAAATGATAGGAGATCAACTGTTAACACATGCATTATAACACTCATCTGACTACTGATGGAAGCAAAGGGTATAAAAACCTGGCCAATAATACATACAATATGACATCTTTACAAATTCTGATTAAAAACACAGTTGCTAATACATACATTATGACACACTTATAACCATGTACTGAACAGAAAAACATGGCTACTAAACAAAGCTTTACTCTTTTAGAAGAAAAAGTGATAGTAGTCACTACAAAGTGTCTGTTAGTGTGGCTATGAAAACAATAATGCTGTTAAAATAGTTCTCGTCCGCCAGAAATTAAAAGCTCTGTTATTAACAAATATTTAATAAATATATTACAACACCATTATGACAATTGCTGAAATTACTGGACAGAAAATATGGTTACTAATACATACAATATGGCACTATATGTTAATCATCGGAAATATCGGAGAGAGAAATGACACATTAGAGAACTAAACAGGCTCCAGTGGACCAAGAGGAAAAGACGCTGGTGTTGGATAGGACACACACTGAGGAAACAGGAGAGCAGCCTAACTAGAATGTCTGTGCATTGGAACCCACAGCGGCATAGGAATAAAGGAAGGCCAAAAAACACATGGAGAAGAGAGCTGGAGAATGAAGTTAGAAAGATGGGGAGGACATGGGGAGAGCTCCATGCAATGGTGAAGGATAGAACAACTTAGCGTGAGTTGGTTGAGGGCCTATGCTCCATTGGGGGATAGAAAGGCAGAAGGAGAAGAAGAAGAATGACACATTACCAGTTAAAACATTCTTGATTCTGCAGGGTATACACCCCCCACCCCCCTCCCCCCCCCCCCCCCCCCCAAGTAACAACAACAGGTGAGACAGATTTCATTTTTTCTTCTCAGAAAACTTAATGTGTGCAAATGAATTCAGATCATTATTGGCACTATCTCAGCCCAAAATAATGCACATGCCAAAATTATTGCTTTCAGAAAAATGTAAAGTCAAGCTGGCCTGAAAAGATGACAACTTAAACTGTTAAGGAAAAAGTGTTAACTGGTTATTAAAAAAATATCCTCCCATAGTTAATGGGATAATATTCGAAATTTTTGAATTGAAAACAAAAAAACTGATAAAGGCTACAATCTGATGTGTCATTGAAGTAAAACTAAACATTAAGTAAACATGAAACTAAATGAGTATTTACAATAAATGTCTTTACTTTTACTTTTTCCTTCCACGTATGCCGCTAAGCGTTGTGGGGAGATGCAAGTTCCTGTCATAAGCAAGGCGGGCAGCATCTGATGTTCTGAGGCCATGCTTTTGGCAGGTTTCAGAGACCCCGTCAATCCACAATTTCCTTGGTCTTCCTCTTGCCTTATATCCTGAGCTTCTTTGGTTGAAAATTTGTGATGTTATTTGATCATTTTTCATCCTGGTTAGATGTCCAAACCATTTCATTCTTTGATGTTCTATGTAGTCTAAACATGGTGTAGTTTTGACAGTGTTTCTAATGTCTATATTCTTTATCCTGTCTAGTCTGGTCTTATTCGCTGCTTTTCTTAGACATTTCATTTCACAGACTTCTATTTTTCTTTCATGGGTCTTGTTGATTGTCCATGTCTGGCACTGGTAGCAGAGTGTTGGAATGAAGATGGTGTTTATCAATTGTCTTTTGGTCTTCATGGTTATATCTGGATGTTTAAGCAGAGGTGATAGTTGGTATGTGACAGCATTTGCTTTCTGTATTCTTGTTTCTATCTCTCTGTCCATTCTTCCATCCTCTGTAAATATACTGCCCAAGTATTTGAACTCTTTGGTTTGCTTGATTTTGGCACTTCCAACATTTATATTCAGTGGCCTGTGTGTTCTGCTGATCTTCATAACTTCTGTTTTTTCTGTACTGATTCTCATATTATGTTGTAAACAGCTGTTGTTGAGAGTAGTCAGATGTTCCTGTAGATCATATTCATTTTGATACAGTATGCTTTGATCATCAGCAAAAAGTAATTCGTTTATAGCATACACGTCTGGGTTTGCTTCTACAGTGATCTTATCCATGTATGTTATGAAAAGTAATGGTGACAGTACACATCCTTGCCTGACACCAGTTGTGACTTTGAACCATTCAGAAAGACCACTAGATGTTCTTACTGCACTTTCACTTTTTTCATAGAGGGCTCTGATGTTGTCTAATAATTGACCCTGCACTCCGTAATCGTCAAGAATTCTCCACAGCACATCTCTGTCTACACGGTCGAATGCCTTCTCTTGATCTACAAAGACCACGTTCAGCTCTTTATCGTATTCGAGTGTCTTTTCACAGACTTGTCTTAGTGCAAATATGGCATCAGTGCAACCTCGCCCTTTCCTGAAACCGAATTGTGCTTTACTCAGTAGAGGTTCAACCTTTGCTCTTATCCTACCTTCTAAGATCTTTGCATACATTTTCCCCACATGACTTAGTAAAGATATTCCTCTATAAGTTCCACATTCTCTCTTGTTTCCTTTTTTCTTCCAGATAGGTACTACAACTGATCTTTGCCAATCCACTGGTACCTTTCTCTCTGCCCATGCTCTATTGAAAATTCTCTCCAGCCAGGTGATCATAGTGTCCCCTCCAGCCTGGATGACTTCTGTTGTCACATAATAATAAATGTCACATAATAATAAATATGTATTGTGTCTAAAAATGTCAGCATTTGAAAAAAAAATGGTTTAGAAATGTTGAATGTTGAATTAGAAATCAGTATCATAGCACTCAGGAAATTCCCAGAAGTGCTCTGTCTTCATCTTCAGCAGCCAGTGAAGAGTTCCAGTGCTGACTATAACAATAATTACCAGTGCTATGACGTCACTTCTTAGCTCAGCTCAACTCAGCTGGACACTGAATTTATCTGCCATCAACCACACAATCAGATATCATTACATTATTCTGTGTGCATCCATTCTCTGACTTTGAAAACTGCAAACAGAAACGAGATGTCCTGGCATTGCACATTATTTTTTTGTTTCCACTGCAAGAAGCTTCTATGAAAACATCAGGAAGGTGCTTACAGTGTTGAAGACTCACTATAGCAGTGGTTTCCAAATTGAAGGTGGAAAGGGGGGGGGGGGGGGGGGGGGGGGGGGGGGGGGGGGGGGGGGGGGGGGTAATGGGGGAAGGAGGTTTCAAGGGGGTGTCAAACATTTTGAAAATGAATGCATTTGCACATGTAATAATCAATTATACTTACATTTTGTTTTAGTTTTATTATAAATTTTTATTTTTTATTTTAATATTCATTAAACAAAATGATAAGGATATTTTGTCATCAGCAGTTTGTACATCTACCGTTAAAAAATAATTAATAGTATGGTAACACGCACATTTATTTACAGATTTAGAACATATTCTGACCAAAATGTATCACCATACTGTCTGTTTCCACTGTTGCAGAATCTACTGTCTTTTTTTAAAATCACATTTTTTAATGTTTTTTCCCGTGTGGGTTCCAGGGCCCTATTATGGGGGAAAAAGAATAGACCCACTGCCTACCCAAAAGCATGTCGTAAGAGTTGACTAGCTGGGAGCTTTCTTTGAAGTCAGAGTGCATTCGCCTGAGAGACAAGGAACCAACAGTCCGCATACAAATGAGTCAGATCTGTAAAATGGATGCACACGTAACACTCAGGTTCTGGAACAGGACTGCAGTGCAAAAATGGATGAAAAACCAGAACTTTTCGCCACAGTTTATAGCTGGTGAACATGAAGAAGAAGAAGTTATGTTTTTTCAAAGGGGGGGGGGGGAGGATGGGGCATAGGGGTTTTGCCATAAATTTAAAAATGTTAGAGAGAACACTGGACTATATCAACTTTCAAAATTGTAGTAGCATTTGTTAATGACAATAATGATAAATACCTAACTAAAAACAGACATTGAGGTTCATTGCTGCAGATATCACCCGCCTCTATCCATTTTGGTGACTGGCCTGCTCTTTCCAGGTGGTCACATCATGTGTTTGTAGGTCTGCCTGGATATTATCTCTCCATTGTCTTCTTGGTCTGCCTCACGGTCTGCGGCCACTCCACTCCCGTATACAGTTTTTGCTGTCATCTGCCATTCCATAATATGCTATAAAAATTCTTTATCATTTTAAAAATGTTGAAGACCCCTTTTAAAATTCTTTTTCTTTTCCTCAGGAAAATGGTCAAGCATTCAATATTAGCCCCGCTTGTTTGTTCCAAACCTTGGTCAAGAATTCAATATAAGCCCCGCTTGTTTGTTACAAAACTTGGTCAAGAATTCAATATAAGACCCGTTTGTTTGTTACAAAACTTGGTCAAGCATTCAATATAAGCCCCGCTTGTTTGTTACAAAACTTGGTCAAGCATTCAATATAAGACCCGTTTGTTTGTTACAAAACTTGGTCAAGAATTCAATATAAGCCCCGCTTGTTTGTTACAAAACTTGGTCAAGAATTCAATTTAAGCCCCGCTTGTTTGTTACAAAACTTGGTCAAGCATTCAATATAAGACCCGTTTGTTTGTTACAAAACTTGGTCAAGAATTCAATATAAGCCCCGCTTGTTTGTTACAAAACTTGGTCAAGCATTCAATATAAGCACTGCTTGTTTGTTAACAAACAATGGTTCTAGTCCTCTCATTGTGACAAATTCACAGAATGAAATGTCCAACTTGTTTAACACTGGAAGTCCCGCAGCGATGATAGCAACAGCTCTGTCAGTAACTGACGTGCATCTTGCAAGAATCAGTTCCTTCAGTTTCTTCAAATGCTGAGCAATATAATGGACTGCCACTTCACGTATGTCAGTACTACTGATGTTTAAGAACTCTAACTCTGACAAATGTTTAGAAATGGTTATAACGCCTGCTGTTCCTACCCTTTCACATCCTTTCAGAGATAACAACTTCAAGTCCTTCCAGACAGCAACATCTTCCAGATCACAGTCACTCACCATCTCAGAATTGTCCAGAGTCAAATGTTCCAGCTTTGGCAGATGCTTCTGTTTATCTTTCATCCACCGAGGCTGCCAAAAAGCATCAACCATTTCTAGGCATGTGATTGATGAAGGAAGCCACTCGAATGAAATGCTGCTTATTTTACACTTCTGAACATGAAGCAGCCGCAGTTTTGGACAGCGAGCAGACAATTCTTGTAGCAGGGCTTCAGAAAGTGAGGACTTTTCTCTAGTACTGTTCTCTGTTTCAAAATATTGAAATAATTTTAATGATAATAAACATACTGCATTATCGATATTACACTTTTGATTACTGTGATGATGATGATAATAATAACAATTAATAAATAATTATAAAGACAGACTAAGACTAATAAATAATTATAAGATAGATAACTAAATGTATTCAACAGGTGTAGCTGAAGAAAATTAGAATGAAAAAAAAAGTAAGGAAAATATTTTGACAACATCCAATATGAAAAAGGAAAGGGAGATATTCTGACATCAAATATAATTTTCTGATAACTATATTAAAAGAAAAAGAATAGCAAACAGAAGTGGATGAACAACCAGAATTTTTCCTATGTGTTTACAGCCGGTGAATACAAAGATTGATTTGATTTGATTTGATTCGAGAACCGACACTTGGGGCATTCCCATAAGCGCTCCGTCCCTATCTTCAGCAGCCAGCTAAGAGTTTCGATACTAATGGTGACAGTAGCATTCTGATTAAACGTCCGTCTTGCCTTTCCTCCGAGCCTCGAGCATCTGCCAGAACCTCTCGTCACTCCCCCCTGCATTAATCTCACCAGACTGTGGTGATCCATCTACTCCTCCAAACTGTACACGCTTTCCCACAAGGCACTAACCACGTCATGTATCAGTATTCCACCAAGTTATGCAGAGCCAGCCAGTCTGTCTGCCTGTTCATTTCCAACACACCGGCGTACCCCGGTGAAAACATCCAGACAATACTCCTCACCTGTGTTGGTGAATGCATAGAAGAAGAGTAAAAGGCTCAGGACATAAACATTGGTAGATTCGTTTCAGCCAACCTTTACTGTGAAATGGTACTGTGTGAAATGGTACTGTGTGAAATGGTACTGTGTGAAATGGTACTGAGTGAAATGGTACTGTGTGAAATGGTACTGAGTGAAATGGTACTGAGTGAAATGGTAATGTGTGAAATGGTACTGTGTGAAATGGTACTGTGTGAAATGGTACTGTGTGAGATGGTACTGTGTGAAATGGTACTGTATGAGATTGTACTGTGTGAAATGGTACTGTGTGAAATGGTACTGAGTGAAATGGTACTGTGTAAAATGGTACAGTGTTATGATATTTTTAAGACAGAAAGACATTACTATCCAGTACAGCTGATGTCAACTTGTCACAACTTATGACATCTTGATTACTTGAACATGAAAGTTCCCAGTAAATAAACTAAAGAAGAAACAGCTATTTATAGTCTCAAAATATCTAGGGATGGATAGAGAAAACAACATCTGATGTGCAAGGGCAAGTCAGTTATTGTGACAATTAACAGAACTTCTGACACCTAGAAAGATTATATTGACCAAGGCAAATCTCCTAGGCCATATTTGTTGGCCAACATTATGCTGCCGGTGTCAAACATCAACCCTAACTATATTAAAGTTGAGTTGAGCTGAAATGATTTTCAAGAACTGACATCACAACACTCTGGGCATTCCCATAAGTGCTCTGTCCTCATTTTCAACAGCCAGCACAGAGTTCCAATATCAACAGTGCCAGTAGCAGTCTGATGATATGTCTGTCTTTTCTTTTCTCTGAGCGTTGAGTATTGGCCAGATTACCTTGTCACTCCTGACTGTACCACTCTCACCAGTGTTGATCAATTTGCTGTTTCAAACTGTACACATGCTTCCATAACGCCTTCACCACATCTGTCTTATTATGCATCAGTATTAAACCAAGCTGTGCAGAGCCAGCCAGTCTGTCCGCCTGTTCATTTGCCAACACACTGGAATTACTCTGAGAAAAAATCCAGACAATGCTCTTTCCCTTTGACCTTCGAAGCGAAGCAAGCCACTCTGCATGAGGCATGCCTGTCCTCATGTTCCTTAGCATGCATTCAGAGTCAGTTACAATCAGGATGTGTGTGTATATCATATTCTCTAGCCAGTAAAAAGCTGAGTTGAACACCTCTACCTATATCTAATGAGTTATGAAATATAACACAGAAGATGGGATGTCATGGAAGAGCAGATGAAGAGTAAAAAAAGAACACAACATTTAAGGTGTAGAAATTAAAATACCAAGACTAAAATCGACAAGTTACAGCATTTTAACTTTAAGCTAAAGAGCTTTAGTATTATAAATTAAATTTAATGTAACATAAGCGTATAACTGTTTGCAATATTTTTTTTAAAAATTTAGTGAACAGTTGTAACAATAGAAATGAGTGTTACAAATAGTTACAACAATACAACTTGTATTTTAACTTGAACTTGACAAGCAGTCTTAACAGTATAAGTTTAAATTAACTCACTGAGTACTGAAAGATTTTGCAGCTGATGCTGATTATTGAAAAACATCTTAAAAGCATTAGTTTCAAAGAGGTAGAAGTTTCTGCTATATAAACTATATTTGTTTTATGTGCTTAGGGCAATTATAAACATTTAGAGAATATGCTGTTCTAGTTTGCCCTTAAGGGAAAGATTCAATAACACATTATGCAGTGCTTTGGAGGGAAAAGAGTTAATAAATCGTTACAATAATACAACTTTTAAAAAAAAATTTTTACAATTAAATAGCTTGATTGTAACAAACAACTGTAACAATATATAATGAATTAAAAAAACAATTATAACAATATAATTTAAACAAAACTTTTTCAGTGCGTTTATAACTACTTTAATTCCTTATATCCTGAAAACTTCTTCTTTAAAGCAGCAAAAGTTTCAGCCCAGAGCAGTTAAAATAAGAACACTGGGCAGGAGTAAAATTAACAATTCACACTAATGAGTTAATGATACGACAATCTGAGATAAAAGAAGAGTCAGAAATATGCACTGACTTATGAACATATGTTATGTTACATCGCACTGAAAGAGTTAACAAACAAAAACAGTTATGGCAATATAACTTGGAACTTAAACAACAATTAGAACAACAAAACTTAAACTCAAAAATAATTAAAATAAAACACCTGCGTAAACAATGCCTTGCATCTTCAATGTTAACAAACATGGAGACAGATAAATTCTGAAAATTTTCCACAACGTCTTCAGGGGAAGATAGTAGTCAAGCAGATCAACATGCCTCCATAATGATTGGTCAAAAATAATGCGGTTCCAAGTTTTGTTAACTCTGGATAAGATATATTGGACATGCAATGAAATGTTGGAGAAAATGTACATTGTGGGTAAAGTAAAATAAGGTAAGGTAAAGAATCCTTTTCTTTACATGCTATGTAGTGCATTCGGTTTTTCAAATTGGCTCAATATTTATACAAACCAATTTACATTCAGTGTTTAATGTGGTCACTATTAAGCTGGCTGTTGTTATTTCTTAGAATAATTTGTGAGACATACTTGCAGGTCAGTTTTCAAGAACATTGTCCACTCAAGGGAATGTAAATATACGACCACTAGGCAAGTTAGAACAACGGAGCTGTATTCCAGCATGTTTCTCTTGATTTTACTGTAAGACTAAGGGTTGTAAATCTAGCACAGAAACAGTAATGGTAGTGAGAAAATTGTAATGTGGGAAGAAAATATCAAATTGGATGAACAAAAGCAGTACACAAAATACTCTAAACAGAATGAAAACCAGTTCATAAAAGTTCAAAATCCATTACTGTTGGTTTTCATGGGGTTGAGATAGTTCCTTGCTGACTGGGGTATAGATTATATTATGAGACAGTCCTCGTTGAGTGAGGTCTAGATTATATTAGTAGTAGTTGTAATGTTTATAGCATGCATCTTCCCTGTGGCTACATACGGATGTGAGTTGTGGACTATATCCCAGTCCTTAAGAAAGAGAATAGGGACTTTTGAGCTGAAATGCTCTAGAAAGATTTTCAGAATATCTTGGACAAAGAAAAGGAGAAATACTGAAATCTTAAGAGATCTGAACATCTAGGAAGATTGGCTACTAAACAGCATCCTGTCTCAGAAGCTGAAATATTTTGATCACATCAAGCGCCACAACGGATTGGGAAAAATTATAGCATAAGGCATGGTACCAGGAAGGAGGGGCAGGGGCCGACCGACACGAAGATAGGCACAGGATATAAGTGACTCCTTGAGTATGAAAGTACATGAGGTGGGAGAACTGGCGAGAGACCGAGTTTCTTTCAGGCAGACCGTGATGAGAGCAACGTTCTGCAAAGAACCTGCTACATGTTATGATGATGATGAGTAATGTTTATATAAATAACATCCTGCTAGCCCTCTGAGTTATAATTGGGATGTACAGTGATACTAATTATTAATCTACTGTATTTTCATCTTCTTTTTAATGATATTTTAAATAATATGTTTTTAGTCAACTGAAAAGCGTATCGTCATCATGATCAACCTTACCATCAAATATTTTTTTAAACTTAGTCTCACACCAGCTTTCCTGCCTTTTCCTCCCAGTGTGGGTTCTGGGGCCCAATAATAGGGAAAACTAGAACAGACCCACTGTCTCCCCAACAAACACGTCATAGGAGCCGACTAATTGGGGCCTCCTTTGAGGTTGGAGTGCATCTGCCTGAGCAGCAAGAAACAACCAACTTCACACAAATAAGCCAGTAAAACGGATGTACCTGCAAAACTCAGGCCCTCACACAAAGCCACAGAACAAATGGATGTACAGCCAGGATATTCGGTTGGAGCCTCCAGCCAGTGAACACAGAAGACGCCCAAGGCATCTCTTATGTCTTGAAACATTCATTCCCTGCCTCTCTTACCCAGTATTAGTCTTTCACTACTGCTCTCTCCAAGTGACTGTGATGTTTGATTTGGCCACAGTGTTTCAATTTTCAAGACAAGATGCTGTTCATGGGCCAATTTTCTTGAATGCTCGAATCTTTTAGAAGGTCAATATAATTTTTCTTTTTGGTACATGGTATTGTAAGATTATTTCCATAGCATTTCAGCTTAAAAGCTCTGACTTTGTTCTTTGTGACATCGTATACGACTCACATCCATTTGTTGCTACACATGGAAAATGCATGCTCTCAGAACTGTGTCTTCAGCTTGGTTGCTGGTGCCTATCCATTAGCTTTTAATGGTATTTATAACATAATAAAGGAGGAGCAGCTGGCTGAGTGGTTACACTGTCAGGCTTTCATGTGTGAGACATAGGTTCGACGCCTGGTAAAATGCAGTTTTTTTTTCTTTTTTTGGCGGAGGCAAAATCAAACATTTTTACTTGGACAGTCCATGGTGACAGCACTAGCCGTGTGACCCTAAGGCATCAGGCTCACAACCTCCATGTCTACTTCTTCTTCTTCACTTCCTCTTCTACCGCTGTGGGTGTTGAGGGAAATATAAGGTTCTGTCTCTAGCTCTTCTGGCCGCCTCGACCATAGGCACATTGTGCTGTTGTAGAGTTTCTCTGATGTTATCCTTCCATCTTGTTCTTGGTCTACCTCGTGCTCTACGTCCTTATTCTCTTTCCATGTATGCTTTGTATGGTATGGTGTCACAAGGCATTCTCTCTGAATGGGCAAACCATTTCACCTGCTGTCTACCCCCTGTCTACACTGTCCTAAAAAGTGGTACACACAAAAATAGTGAAAGCAATAACAAAACAACATGAACATTCATTTCGATAGTACAACAGTCACTACTGTCCCTATGTATCACTTTTTATGGTGGTGTAGACAACGGGTCATGAGCCTGGGTATTTAGGGGTGCACGGCTAGTGCTGTTGCCACGGACTGTCCAGGTAAGGATGTTTAATTTTGCCCCCGACAAAAACACTTGCATCTCCTTACCAGGGATCGAACCCAGTCGTTCCTCAAAATAAATATAAAAAACAGAGGGGAGACCCTTGAGGCCATACAAATATGATAAATAAATAACAAACAAACAGACAATGCAGTGATCTGCACTCACACAAAGAAGTAAACATACAGATGGACACACTAGACAACACTATGCACAACAAATTAAAAAAGCATAGACAGATACAAAAAAATCACTACAGCCCAATAACAGTGTTACAACAAAAGAAGAAGAATGTAATGTGTCATTTCCCTGTTTCAGTTTTTTTTTTTTTTTTTTGACTGACATCTAGAGATGCTACATATGACATCTAGAGATGCTACATATGACATCTTGAGATGCTACATATGACATCTAGAGATGCTACATATGATAACAAGTGTCATATGTCTCCAGTGTCAATAGTAATACTGCATTGGTCGGTTTTCATTTCTCTGTGTGTTTGCACTAGTCTAATATCTTACCTCCGTACCCGACAACGATCTTTCATGGGCAGGTACTGCATGATTTGCAACATAATATTCTCTGGCAATTTTTCGATGGTGGTTTTAGCAATTTGGCTCTCTAAATACATTTTTTTTCAATTTTTCAAATAGCAGTAATTATGTTTGTAGAATAATTCCTTAAGTTTGATCAACTCCAGAAATGTTGAACAGCGCAGTATGAGAAGGTTGATTATGGCAGTGTGTTTGTAGTTGTATATCTTGTTGAACACTCTGCTGAACTTGTAATTCAAGTTGTATGTTTTAGAACAAACAGTGCCTCCAATATCAAAGGACGAGTCAGCTGGGATCTCTTACATATCAGAGTTTGTTTCGCTAAGGCAATTTTTCCGATTATACTTTTTTTGAAATCAATCAATTGATTTATATTTTCGCTAGATAATGTACGAAGAATTGACATCACTACACTCTCATTGCAACGTACGCCTGTAAGCAGACCTGGACACACAACGAGCTGAACAGCACATAAATGCCTTTGAATACAAATATTATTGACGGGTTCTAAGCACGGCCTTCTCTATTTATATATATAGAGACGGCGTTAATTCTAAGCACGGCCAGCTCCAGATTTTAAGAATATCGTGGGTAAAGAAAAGAACAAAGGCATCCATACTCCAAGAACTGAATATTGAAGAAGGTTGGCTATTAAAAATTAAGACTATAGAACACAGAAAATTGAAATATTTTGGTCACTTGAAAAGTCAAGAAAGTTCGGAGAGAACAATAATGGATGGGCATATGCCTAGGAAGAGAGGAAGAGGACGGCCAAGGAGAAGATGGGTGCAGGATGTGGCGGATGATCTCCAAATGTATCGGACGCGGGACATTTGCTTGTGATCAAGTTTTCCGGAAGGTTGTTTTAGGAGCAAGGTTCTGCAAAGGATATGCTACTGACTGCCACTCCGTACATTCCCACACGTACTCCTCCCCCCCCCCCCTTTATTCACTAGTCGAGGAAGAGTCGACATGATAATAGTAGCAGTTGCAACCTGATTAAAAGTCCACCTATGTTTAAAAAGGGGGGGGGGGGGTGTTGGCTGGAGCCGCGTAGTCGAATAACGAGATGGAGAAAGCTTGGGTAGATCCGCAGCGAGCCGTCAAGCAGCGGCAGAACCAGAAACAAAATTACAGAACTGCTCAGTCGGACCACATTCTTCTTTTGAAACAAGTCATTTTTTTTTTTTTTTTTTAGAAAACTGAATGTTTTCCATTCTGGCTAAAAGGGTTAAAAAGTGAGAAGTGGGCAGAGTTCTGCGTTAGAGTGTGCAAAGACTAAATTGTTCAGGCGCCTGCATAGAAGTATGAATGGAGTGCGCCTAAAATCAATTGCATTCGGACTTTTCAATTAGTGATCTTATCTGGCACAGAACCGATAAACACGGAGGCACGGCTTTCCTCGCTCACTATCTCGAGCAGAGTGCTCAAAAAGATCAAAGGCGCCAAGTTGCCAGAATAAACGTATCAGATGGTTGTAGTGCAAATTATTTTTACCTACTTAAATCAGTGGATCCCTTTCTACCTTGGGGTGTAGAGGTTTGCCAGAGAGATCGCCAGATTTCTGTCTGTAGTTTTCTTTTTGGCTTTGTTCCATTCTAGTCATCTGTCAGTTAGGAACTGTCGGATGTTGTCTTCCCAGCAAACTCTGGGTCGCCCTGGGAGTCTCGTTTCCCTGGTTCGTGGCCTCCAGTGCCTGCCCTGGTAGCCAATTTCCTCCCATTCTGCATATATGCCCAAACCATTATAACTGTGACTGACCCACTCGAGTTTTTAAGGCCTGGGTTTCAAGATCCTGACGTATTGTCTGATTACGAACGTTGTCCTTTCTGATGCCTGAAGCTGGCTTTTGTGAGCTGTTGTTATTGCCAGTAACTCACACCCGTAGGTCAGGACTGGCACAGAAGAAGAGCGGTAAACAGCCGTTATCGTCCTCTTGCAAATTTCTTTTTTGTTGTTGTTGATAAACCCTAGGTTTATGGCCTGGAAAAGTCTCCCAGCAGCTGCTTTTCGAGCAGCCAGCTCTGTCCTAATCCCTCCATTCCGGTCTGTTACAACTCCAGTGTATCTGAACTTGTTGACCTGCTAAAGTGCATACTGTCCCATCATGATTTGGTGTTTCTTGAGATCATCGTGGTTTTAATTTTGAAGATTCTGATGGTCTTTCCTCCAGACAAATAAGTTGACTTTAAGATGTGCCTATGATTTAGCTATCAGGGTCACATCGTCTGCAAATGCCAGCTCTGATATACAGATTGGTCTCATCTTCCAGTATCCTACTGGGTACTTCTTTGTCCTCTCCTCACAGTTTTGATGCCATCATCCATCATAATAAAAAAAAAGAAGGTAAGGTGAAAGAATATCACCTTGTCTAATACCGCTAGGGATTTTAAATTCTTCTGACTTTTGGTCTGCTGTTCTAACATAGTTTCTTCAGCTTTTGTAGAAACTATATTGCACTAATCAGGGGTGCTGGAATGTTTGTTCCCGCCCAGTCCCAGAGCTTGCTCCATGGAACCTTATAAAATGTCTTTTCTAGATCTAAAAAAACATAGTTGCGTCTTACTCTCACACTCAAGGGCTTTTTCACTCATCTGTGTGAGTGTAAAGATAAGGTCTTGAGTACTTCAATTTGCTCTGAAGCCCCATTGAGTCTGATCCAGGTGTGGTTATGCACAAAAACAATACTACAGGTCTTAGTAGAGGAGAAGAGGCAAACTAAAAAGGCCTGAATGCAGAATTTGACTGACTTGACAGTTAGGCCTTAGACATGCAACCATGAACTCCATCGCATCTGGTCTTCAAAAGGAAAGGAATCTGATGGGTTAACAGTAACTGGTTACCCAAGACACGCAGCGTTACGGGATGATGATGATATAAAATTGTGTAATTAGATATCCTTTGAGGCCTTCTTGTCCATCTGACCACACTTAGTGATTGTGGCGTCTACGCACAAGAAAGAAGAGACTGAACATCTGGCAAAGAGGTTGAACACCTGGGAGAGGACAAGAGCACCCAGGGAAAGGACTGGGGATCTGGGCTTGACACTTGAGTTGTATTGGTTTGTTGTTAGTAAATAGACTTGAGTTGTGTTAGTTTGTTTGTAGTTAATAGACTTGGGTTGTGTTGGTTTGTTGTTAGTTAATAGACTTCAGTTTGTTGTTAGTTACAAGTATTGAATTGTGTCAGTTTGTTGGTAGATAATAGACTTGAGTTGTTTAAGTTTGTTGTTGTTTGATAGACTTGAGTTGTGTTATGAAACCTAAATTTATATAAAACTATAACAACAACGAAACGAAATCTTCACGTAGCAGTAAACACAGGAATTGTGGACCTCGGCGGGTGTCACGGAATGATCTACTCAAATCAAAACAAACTGAAAGATTGCCATAATCAGTCAGTTCAAGTTTCGTCATATTGTGTTTAGGTTTACAGTTTAGTTACAGTATACTTCAGACATAATCACTGCATGTAAATATGAACCTGGAGAATCAAATTGCTGGCGAAACCACCATAGAGAAACTGCCAGACAATATTTTGCTAGAAATTCTACGGTACCTGTCTCTGAAAGATCGCTGTCGATCACGCAGGTAAGATAAGATTAAGATTTAGTATTGAAACATTTTCACATATTTACATACGTAATTCCAGGCACACACACACACACACACACACGAGTATATATAATATATTCATCATCGCCACTATCCTGTGCTGTTCTACTTGATACTTTAGTCTCGGATTAATCCCATTTAATATTCAACAGTCAGAAGGTATATTATTTACTGATTAGTACAAATTTAGCGGGGCGCAACTGTTTACAGCTATCTAACTGTGCTGGTTTTATTGGTGTAGAGAGCATTTTGAAAATTTGACTAAAGTACCTAGATGTGGCAGCTAAACGCTCACCTATGGACAGGAAAGTCGAAGGTTTAAATCAGAATGGGGATTACCTTGGGTAATTGTCTATTTTTTAAATTTCTTTAAAAAAAAATAAGCACACCTTAAATGGGTTTTTTCTTTAAAAAAAATGAGCAAATCTTAAATGGGTTTTTTCTTTTAAAAAAATGAGCAAACCTTAAATGGGATACCAGGTAAAGTCCTGGGAAATAAAGGTATTCGGGGTGATGCTGATCTCATCACCCACCAAATGCTAACTGGTCTATAAAATATGTCTGCCCCCCTACATGACCTGTACATCTGAGGGCATAGAATAAGGGCCTTTACTATTTTTCCCCTTGTTTTCTCTCTCCTGCTTTGAACAAAAAAACAGATTCAGCAGATAGACCCTTGCTTGTAGATCTGAAGATTCTGGGTTGTAATTCCACATGGAGCTAAATTTGTTTGTTATCAACTTGATTCGCAGGTCAACCCAGCCTAAACTGGGTAGCAGGTAATGTCCTGGGAAGTAAAGGTGGCCAGCATGATGCTCACCATATCATCCATCGAGTATAAGTGGTCTGTAAAATATAGGTCTAGCACTATGTGCCCAATATGCCTACAGGTATAGAAAAGCATCCTTTATTTTACTTTTACTGTTATCATTTACATAATTAACAACAAACTGTACAAAAGGGCTATTAACTCTTTCAGTCCAGAAGATTTTGTTAGAGACACCTATGGTATTGGCACCCAGAATAAAAGATTATGGATCTCTAAAGCAGCTTTTACAGTGCTACGTGTTAAAATATCTGACCAAATTTCTATAGTATGCTCAGTTAACATTTAAACTTTGCAATAACACACCAGGCATCAATGGAGATGTAAGGAGGCAATCCTCCGAATAACGGCCACATATTATGGCGGCCAAAAACAGGGCCTCATTCATGTGTAAATTGTGGACTTCTGGCAACTATACGGCTACTGCGGAGAGTATCTCCCGTGACGCTACATGTGGCGCGGAGCGGGGCTAAACTACATTGCTGTGACTCATGAGCAAAGCAGCAGGAGATGCAGAAGCTGCTGCTCGTGAGTCCCAGTCATCTAGTTTAGCCCTGCTCCACGCTATGCGTAGCGGCGTGGGAGATATTCTCGGCGGTGGCGGTATAGTCTCCGGAAATCTGCAATTTACATGTGACTGAGGCCCTTTCAGGGTGTGTTTTTGGCTGCCATAATATGTGGCCGTTATTCGGAGGATAGCCTGAAAGAGTAACAGCTGAACACTCACACGGTGTGTTGCTAAGGATGGAAGTAGTTAAATTAAATAAATTTTACTTATATTTCACTGAATACATAATTAATTTGTGGAGGTATTGAGCATGCAGGGATCTACTCTGATGGAGGTCCTTACTAATGAGTTTACTTGCAATGTGTATTGTCACTTGTAGTTGCCAACTGGAAAGAGAAGGCCTGTCAGAGAGATAAATGGAGACGGGTGATGTCTGCATTAATGAACCTCAAGAGCTCAGAATTTTGAAACACACACACACAAAAGAGATCCTTAGGAATATATTTTTTCATGTGACAGTATTCTAAAGACAATTATTACCCTAATGAAGAAACCTACCATCTTCTCTGTAATCACCCTGAATGTGTATTGGAAAACATCCCCTCCCCCCTCCCTCCCAATAAAATTAGTTTTTTTGCAATATTTTATGTCCAGGGTTTGCAAAAACTGGAACCGAATTCTTTCTGACAATTCTTTATGGAGACACGTTGATCTGCTGGAGTATCGTCTTGACCTGCGGACAATGTGGAAAATTGTTAGAACTCATTTCTCTCCATGTTTGTCATCAATCAAGATTCGAGGTTATACTCGAGCAGGTGTGTTATTTTAATGCCATTGCTATTTAATTCTGGTTATATTATTAATAAAATCCGGTTTCTCCAGAATAAAACTACAGGGTTTAGTAGCGGAAAAAACCAGAAAAAAACCTGGGTACAAAATGTGGCTGACTGGACAGGCCTCATGTATGCAAACAATTGCAGTTGACCGACAAAGGTGAAGGGAACTGATTGGACAGTCAACAGCAACTTGTGACACAGTGACAGCGTTATGGAAACAGTGATGGTGATAATAACCTGTTGTTACATAAAAAATGTCAGTGGTTTTAACAATTGTTAACAAAAATTGAAGGAACGGTTTGCAGAAAAGCCGGAGCTGTGAAATCTGGCTATCAGACAGTATTTATTTAGTTCAGGTCGTACTTTGGACACTGTTTATTTAGTTCCGGTTATGTTGTTGGAACTGCTTATTTAGTTGAGGTTATATTGTTGAAACTGTTTATTTAGTTCTGGTTATATTGTTCAAGCTGTTTATATAGTTTATGTATAGTTTATGTATAGTTTATGGGAGAGGTAAGGTGATTGGTGAGATTCTGAGATCACTGGAGTGGTAAAGTGACTGGTGTACTTCCCTACTGACACACACTGATTAGACAAAATGGGTACCAGGATGGGCTGTCCTGGGAAAGTAAAGACAGCCGGCGTAATGCTGACCACATTACCCACAGAGTGCTGATGGTCTGTAAAAATATGGGACGCTCTGCCCATATGCCCGATGCGCCGAACGGCATGAAAAGGGAACTTTACTTTACTTACTTTATTTACAACAGTGCTCTGTTATTAACCCTACCAGACCTGAGGCCCTGAACCTAACTGTCCCTATAACCTGAGCTCCTGGGCACTAACACGAAAAAACCAACATGATGTAAAAAAAAAATTAGTTACATGCAGACAAGTGGTTAGAATAAGATAAAACTTGGAGAAATTGTAGAAAATAGGTTTACCTTTCATCTATCGCCAATCTTCCACCTTTGTGTACCAATCCACCTAGTAGGATCAGTCTTGTTTCACAAAGTAAGCACCAGATGTTGCTTTTTGAGGGACACACCCCCTTCTCTTACTATCGATCTATTTTTAAATCTATAATTTTCATAATTCTTCTCCTCACTCTAGCTCTCACTGACTGTTGTCACTTTAACTCCGAACGTATTCTTAATGAATGTCTTCACAGTCTGAATTAACCAAAGTATCGATCACCTGTTGGACTGTGAAAAGCCTAGACCTACGTCACTTTCTTGTCAAAGCCGCTCGTTTCATTGAGAATTTTCCGAATTTTTTTTCACATCAAACCACTCAAAGAAATCTCAACACACGTCGGAAGTCATTCACAGTGACTAACAACGAAGTCTGATGGCGATTGGCTGGTTATTTTTAGTCTGTGACGCATATTTTTCACGCACTACGTAAATTCCCGGAAAATGGGGCCAGCGGTATAGCGGCTGGTTGGGAAATTCCAGGAAAATCGGGCCAGCGGTCTGGTAGGGTTAAGTAGTGATTGAGAGATCTGGCTGACTGAAAACTCTGAGGAAAGGCAAGACGGTACATACAGTGAGACTGCTGCCGGAACTGAAACTCTGCTCTGGCTCATGAAGATAAGGACGGAGCAGTTATGGAAATGTTCAGTGTGTCAAGATATCGGTTATTAGCTCAGCACAACTTAGTAACTCTGATATTTGTATTTTTCGATTTTCGAACTTTTATTGACAAGCCAGCCATGGCTTGAGAGTAACACACACAAAAGTAATTTCCATCAGGTCATTGTTACATTAGGAGGAGTGACCAACCCCCTTTCCTCCGGGCAATGGCTTTGACAGGCCGGCTAAATCAAGTCAGAGCAGCTGGATGGCTAGTAGCCTTCGATGGGTCAGGATCGGTCTATGCAAGCATGCAAAGACTGGACTCTGCTGAATTTGTGGAGGAAATCAGTATTTGGTTGAACGAACCTGATAGTGAGTACGCTGTGATAGCGAGTAGGCTGTGATAGCGAGTACGCTGTGATAGCGAGTACGCTGTGGAGAACAAAGAGCACAGTGAGGCTAGTAAAACACCCTGGTCATCCACTGCACCTGACTTAATTTCCACTTGTATTGACGTGTCCTGCCATTGAATCCAGGTGAGAGAGTGATGTCGAAGAAATTGCACAATTCTTCCTCACTTTCAACCACTTCATGGCACAACTAATTCCTTCTTTCCTACATATAGTTTCATGATGAATGAAAAAAGATTGGTCCTCATCACTTGTGATGGACGAACGTCACTACCACTTTATAAAGAGAATGTAGAGAGTAGTGTATCTGTATGGCAGATTTAGAGGTACAGCAACTAATAGATAAAAACACTGGGCTAGATGAAGCAGTAGTGTACACCAATGGTTCTGTTCATTGGATTGAAAGATCTAACTGGGGTTTTTCAGCTAGAGCCAAGGGAAAAATATTGTGGTGATGCTCAGGTAACTTGTAGTCACTCAGGTGATGCTTCCAGCCATCCTTTCCAGAATAGAGCGAGCATAGCCTGTTAAATATTTAGTTATTATTATTATTTGCTGTTATCATTATTACCATAAGCATAATAATAATTTAGCAAATTTATTATCGTTAGATTATTGTAATTTTTTCTTTAATAGATGGCCGCAAAAAAAGGAAAGCCTCCCTTTCTGATCCTATGCTCAAAGAACTGGCTGCCCGCTGTCCAAACCTGCAGCTGCTTCATCTTCATGACTGTAGGACCAACAACATTTCTTTTGCTTGTCTTCCTCCATCAATTACATGCTTACAAATGGTCAGCTCTATTTGGCAGCCTCGATGGATGAAAGATAAACAGAATCATTTAAAAAAGCTTGAACACTTGACTCTAGACAATTCTGTGCGGGTGGATGCCTTTGATTTGGAGGACATTGCTTTCTGGAAGAACTTGAAGCGTTTGTCTCTCATGGGGTGCTATAGGGTAGGGACATCTGGTGTAAAAACCATTTCTGATAATTTGACAGAGTTAGAGCTCTTAAATCTTAGTGGTACTCACATAGATGATTTGGCAGTCCATCACATTGCTCATCACCTGAAGAAACTGAAGCAACTATATCTTGCCAGATGCATATCAATCAGTAACGGAGCTCTTGCTACAATAGCTGAGGGACTTCCATTGTTAAAGAAGCTGGACATTTCATATTGTAGATATATCACAATGGTTGGATTAGAATCATTGTTTGGTATCAAACTATCGGTACTGATTATTGGAGGTATGGACAGATTGTCAGAGGAAGATATACAGACTTTGAAAAGAGGTTTTCCTGAACATTTTATTTTAAAAGCCTAGTATTTCAGTATCCAAAATAATGAGTGACCGCTCTTTAAACTAATGAGAAAAATTTCTAAATCAGAAAAAAAAAGTCAAGTGAAGGCATAGGCCCACAGACAACAAGTGAATATTTTGACTAGTCTTTACTAGTGAAAAAGAATGTGAATACTTGACCTCAGGAGAAAAATATCCATAACTCTTGTTTGTCCCATTTCTGTTTAAATCCTTTTGCCCGTACTATGCTGCTAATCCTCTACAACTGTTCATTACAAGTCCCTGTGAACCATTAAACAAGTATTGCTAAATTCCTTGACAAGCATATACTGGCTTGGGGGGGGGGGGGGGGGGGGGGTGGTGAAGTATTTTTTTTTTAATTAAAGGCTTTTTTAGTATTATGATATCGCAATTCAACTTCTTTAGTGGTCGCATAGCAACAGGGTCACAGTCACTATTTGTTTAGGTCCAGGGGAATGAAGTCTATTTAATTCTGCCCTTCATAGATTTCTTTAACCAAAGAAAAAGCAAACACAAAAGAATTTTCAAATGCATACAAATAAATCTATAAAAAATTTATTAGTGACCTTTGTAAAAAAAATTTTGTAAGAGGATTTATCAAAGAGGGGGAGAGGAGGGGTGTCCCGGATTCATTTTTGTCAGTGGGTATCTGGGGTGAAAGGGTTTATAGTTTATTGGAGGATCTTTGTTTTTTCTTTAGTATAGTATTTTTTGTCCATGTTGATAAAGATTTGGTTTAAATGTCTGCTTGTTGTGTCTGTATTATTTCCATTCTTTAAACTCTGTAGTTTTTGTATGTGTGTGTAGAGAAATGAAACCCAACCAACTAAGTTGTTTATTTCTTACATGTTTTGTACTTGTTATTATGTTAACCATTTATTTGTATGCCTTTTCTTTCATTCAAATGCATCTTTTGTAACAGAATTTCTTTACTAAAAGTTACTAATGTATTTTTTTGGGGTTTTTTTTTTTTTTTTTTTTTTTTCAATTATGAATAAAAAATATTGTTCTCTAGGAATGTCCCATTCTTATTTTCTTCACATCTGTCAGATTGAGTAATGAATATTTACGTGCAGATTGTCAGTGAAGTATTCTTTAACTTCAAATAGTCAGTGTTTTTTTAAGGCTGAAAATGACATCCTTCAGAGTAAAGCATTTAGCGAGAAAGATATATATCTGTTAGCCAAAAAAAAGTAGCACGAACACATTGTACGGTTGTACATTATTTTTGATCATTTTGGAACCTGAGGATATAGCTTAAGAAACAAAGGGGCCGTAGATTTGATCAACTTAGAAACAACTACTTTAAATATATTAAATTTTGTGTTAAAACATGTCTTGAAAGTATGTTTTAAAACAGTTTGCTTATAGTTTTGTTTGTTACCTCTTATCGATGTGATTTTTAATTTTTTTGACAACTTTATTCTGTCTTACAATTTAAGCCTTGATTGTTTGTTATGATTTGTAAATACAAGACCTTGGGTAATTGTCTATTTTTTTAATTTCTTTCTGTGATTGTACTTACTGTATTTCTTTCACTTCATTTTCAGATCCAGTTGTAATCATTACAGGTTGATTTGCTTTTTTTTTTTTTTTTAATTTGACCCATGATGCTAAGATTTTTATAAACAATTAATTTTTTATTATGCAGTATGTTAGTAAAATTCTTATTTTTTTTTTTGTAATGTATAATTACTGTATAGTTTCACTTTATTTTCAGATGACACTTTAATCATTGCTAGTTCATATATTTTTTCTTTAGTTGATTTGAAATATTTGTAATAATATCCAATAATATATTGTATCACAGGTCTGTGTATATAAACAACTAATTTATTGTTTATTTTCTGGAGAAAAAAATTGTGATTGTAATCTCATGACTGACTTTAAGATGTAGAAAGTTTATTGAAGCAATTTCTGGAGAGCCTGGAAATGAAAACAGAGTTGTTGAATAAAAGAAAAAAAAAATGGAAAATATGTTGGCTGCATAAAAATACATAACACTCTTAAAAACCATGCTGGAGGGGAGAAGTCAAAGACAGAAGAGTAGGAGATACATAGCAATAGTGGTATGACAAATAAAGAGATGCATAAACAACAATCCTTGAAAGTGTACAACTAAGACAAGGGATGTACAGTGTTGGAGATCCATTGCAGCCAACTTTTGTTGTGGAGATGGCACCAGAAAGGTTTGAATAATAGCAATAAATTCATTATCTGATACAGTTCAGATCCCTGACAAAATTTGTGTTAATGAATTAAATTCAAATGTTAATTTCTGGACATATCTGCAGATGACTGGACACGTCTGTATGTCGTGGTACCACGGCACACATTTAGGCACAGATGTGTGCCAGTATACAACTGCGCATATCTGTACGTCTTTGTATCGTTGAATTAAGCACTCAGTACACTCCCATAAGCGCTCCATCCTCATCCTCAGCAGCAAGAAAAGAGTTCCGATTCCGATTAGCACCAGCAACTGTCTGATTGTATCTCATTTTTCCCCGAGTGTTGATGTCTGCCAGATCCCCTGGTAACTCCTCGCAGCGCCTTCTCCTCAAACCGTAATGATCTATCTGTGCCTCCTCACTGTTCACTCACTCCCAAAGGACCCTCACAGCATCTAGCTTGTCATACATCAGTTCACCACCAAGTGGTGCAGAACCGGCCAGTGTCTTTTAAAAGTGTCAATGTACCACTGAACACATTAAGCCATAGATGTATGTCTGCACACAACTGCACTCATTTGGACATATCTATGTCTATGCACAGCCACACCTTTGGACATATTTGCAGACATTTTAACATATTTGCCTATGCCTGTACACATCCATACATCTGGACATATCCAGATACATCTGTACACATCTGCCTTTCTGACCTAGTGTGGTTGTCCACAGACCTGGTACCACATACCATGTTTAAAATGACTTTATGGTAGACTTTTAATTTCCCTCTTCAAGTTCCGAAACTAAATGTGTACAAGATTGTTACTCTGAATTCACAGACAGGCATAGTAGAAATTGACCAGATCAAGAAAGTTGGAAGAAAGACATAATTGTATGGAACATATCCACATTTACGGAGGTCAGCCTCTGCCTCATTCTCCAGCAACTGCATCTTCTAAGTGCTTACCTTTGAATTACATTTTAGTCCGGGGACACAGCCTTCCACTGCATTGCATTCAATAGCATTTCTGCCAGTTGATTCAGTACAACACATTAAATGTAACTTCTGGGAAGATTGAATGGGGTATCTGTGATTTGCCCTTTCGGTTTGCCATGCAGGGAAGAGACTCTTGCAGTAATCAAACCTTCAGGTAGCAGCACAGAGAGGACAGACAGAAAACACAAAAAGTACAGGCTGGCTAAGTTTAGGTCTAGGCTGGTGTTATTTATTCCACAGGTTTTCGGTATTCATTTTGTCAACAGACTACAATACCTGTATAGAAAGCAGTGTCATATGTTGCTTGTGTAGCAGCAGAGACAGTCTATGTAAGCTGTGGCATATGTATATGTGGCAGCAGACTTTGTCTATGTAAGCTGTGGTGTTGTAGCAGCAGAGACAGTCTATGTAATCTATGGTGTTGTAGCAGCAGACATTTTCTATGTAAGCTGTGGTGTTGTAGCAGCAGAGACAGTCTATGTAAGCTGTGGTGTTGTAGCAGCAGAGACAGTCTATGTAAGCTGTGGCATATGTATATGTGGCAGCAGACTTTGTCTATGTAAGCTGTGGTGTTGTAGCAGCAGAGACAGTCTATGTAATCTATGGTGTTGAAGCAGCAGACATTTTCTATGTAAGCTGTGGTGTTGTAGCAGCAGAGACAGTCTATGTAAGCTGTGGTGTTGTAGCAGCAGATATTGTCTATGTAAGCTTTGGTGTAGGTATGTGTAGCAGCAGACATTGTCTAAGCTGTGGTGTAGGTATGTGTAGCAACAGACATGGTCTATGTAAGTTGTGGTATGTGTAGCAACAGACATGGTCTATGTAAGTCGTGGTATGTGTAGCAGCAAACATGATCTAAGTAAGTTGTGGTATGTGTAGCAACAGACATGGTCTATGTAAATTGTGGTATGTGTAGCAACAGACATGGTCTATGTAAGTTGTGGTATGTGTAGCAACAGACATGGTCTATGTAAGTTGTGGTATGTGTAACAGCAGACATGATCTATGTAAGTTGTGGTATGTGTATGTTTAGCAGCAGATATTGTAACATGTAATCTGTGGTATGTTTTTAAGGAGCAGCAGACAGTATATCTTATGTAAGCTGCGGTATTTGTTTTAGAGTAGCAAAGATATTATCTGTGTAAGCTGTTGGCAATGGTCTCACGTTCTCTAACGGTGGTCAGAGGAGTACACCATAGTGTCAGTCGCTTCTGTCACTGAACCAGTATGATCACTATAAAGAAGGAAAGCAATGGAAAACTATCTTCTTGAAAATGCAATGAAAAGTCATGATTTCCCAGTTGAGTTAAGGTGAACTGAGTCAAGTATTGACATCACAGCACTTGAGGCATTCCCACGTGTGCTCTGTCCTCATCTTCAGCAGCCAGCGCAGAGTTCCAGTACTGATGGTAATGATTACAATCTGGTTATATGTCGGTCTTGCCTTTTCTCTGAGTGTAATGAGCCGGCCAGACCCTCTGGTTACACCCAGGTGCCTCATTCTCTCCAGACCATAATAATCTGTTGCTTGTTCCTAAAGGGCCTTGACCACATCTGCCTTGTAATTTATCAATTCACCACCCAGTGGTGCAGATCTAGCCAGCCAGTCTGCCTGTTCATTACCCACTACACCGGCTTGGCGTGGAGAAAAGATCTAAAGTATGCTCAGTGGAAAGCAGTGACCTATTTTCTTCAAGATACAGTGAAAAGTCATGGTTTCCCATCAATATACATGTGAGACATGGACAATAAGCAGAGTAGCTGAAAAACATTTACTCCCAGCAGAGATATGATTTGTTAGAAGAAAGCAAAGGATTTATGTATCTTTTGTTTTA